AAAAAAAAAAAAAAAAAAAAAAAAAAAAAGGAAACAAAAGGAGAAAGATATTTCAAGGGTACCAGGTGAAAATAAGTCTGGGCTTTGTCCACATTTGGTTTTAAAACATGTTGAATTTTACACATGGGGTTAACAGAATCCTTGTCTCATGAGGCCAAGCACACACAAAAATCCTCATCTTCAAGTTCATGCAGAATTAAATGCTCATATGTGGAATGGAAAAGAAATTGGGGTTCAACCACTCTGTACAGAGCACGCTGACTCGCCTGCATCACTGTTTGTGCCCCAGGGAGTTCTTTCTACAGTTCCCTCGTGACTTCCTGCCCGTTCTGAGTCCTGCTTCTGGGCCCGTTCATCTGATAAAGCAAAACACCCTGCAAAGCCTAACACACACTCACTGATGCCAGTTTACGTAGTGTCCCTGTTCCCCATGTCCTTATGCTAACAAAACTGCCTACAGGAGAAATTAAGCCGACAACAGCCTCGTGATGGCCTGTAATTGAGCTTCAAATAAGGCAGGGGAAGTGGGCTTGGCGGTGACCTCCCCACAATCTCCCTGCTTGCATCTTTGATCCATTTTTAAAATTTTTGTCTCTAGAATTCCAATAGGCATAGTTCAGTATGTCTGTTAGACGGCTGTTTATTAGAGCTGGTAAAAAAGAAAACCCAAGATAAATTAATGGACAAAGAATCACAATGGGCTGTCACCGAAGAGAAGCTATAAAAGGCTAGTTTGCATAAAAGCATTTTTCTCCACGGGCCATGGGAGGCCTAAGCATGAAAATAATGACAGTGTTTACTCACGAAAACAATACGTCTTTCAATGTTAATGATAACTAAAAGTATTCTTTCACAGACTGCCCCAGGAATCATATATTTTTTTAAATAGACTACTTTTTAATAGCAGCTCCTGGACCCGAGGAAACTGGAAGAAAGTGGTACACCTTTCACTGAGGAACCTGCATCGACACATCACTGCCACTCGAAGCCTGTGGTTTGTGTTAGGGTTCACTCTCGGTGGTGCACATTCTGTGGCTTTGGACAGAGCTATCTGTCCAGTATACTATACTGTGCAGCCTTGTACACAGTAGTCTCACGGACCTAAAAATCCTAGTGCTGTACCTATTCATCCTTCCCTCCTCCACGATAGTTTTAAAAAAACATAACTATGCCAATTCATATATGATTGGCTGGTGAGACTAACAAAATCGGGACAGTCTGGGTTCTCTCTCTCTTTTTTTTTTGGGTACTGCGCTCGAACTTGGGACCTTGCACTTGTGAGGTAGATGCCGGCACTACTGAGCTAAATCCCTAGCCCCAGTCTGGGTTCTTTAGGAAGATGCCTGTCTCAGGATACTGGGTTGGAGGCATCTCCACAGCATCTGTAAAGCAGAGCACCATGCCCACCTGGTGAAGGGACAGGTAAGGGACAGTTCGAACCCGCCAGCCACCACACTTGGATTCTGAGCTCTGTTGCTTTGGGTTATCTGCCCACTGACCCCTCTGCTTCCTATTTGTAATCTTGTCTCCTGGCAGGCTGGGCCAAGGTATCTTCTTCCTCTTATACCCCCTCGGTGCTTAGCAGAGTTAAGCACCCAGACAGAAAAGAAGTCCTTTTCACTAGGGCATGACTGATGCAGGCTGTGTCCTCCCACTCTGTTACCATCTGATCCCTGAAAGCTAGCTCTAAGTCCCTTTGGCCTGGAAAGTGGCCTGGCCAGGTCAGGCAAAGTTTATGAGCCCTCAGGGCCTTCCCTAACCCAGGGGAGGCAGAGCTGCCATCTCCTCTATTCCAGAACCCTGGACAGCCCTGGAGAACCAGGGAACTGCTGGTATTGGAGCTCTCCCTTGCTGCATGTTTATTTGGAAAAGCACAGAAACAAGCAAACAAAATGGTGACCTTTTGCTCAATGGGCATAAAGCTGGAAAATGAAATTGCATTTGAGTATTTAATGGGGTTAGGAGCAGAGTGAGATAGTCATGGGGAGAGAGCACGCCCTCGTTGTGGAAATTACACAGCCCTATGTGAATGGAAATTCCATCCAACAATCTGGAAATGATGACTTGAGGTCCCAGCTGTGATTTGCCGGGAGGTGAGAAGCAGTAGCGCCTCCAGTCCAGGCATGGTCAGTTGAGGGTCTCTCTCTCTCTCTCTCTCTCACACACACACACACACACACACACATACTTGCTGCATGCATGCTCTCTTATATGTGCATGTCGCTATCTCCCCGATACCAGTGCATCATTTGTTAATCCCCCAAATTGATTCTCCATGGCTTACAGGGTGCCCTGCACACTCTTGTATACAAATGCATGTGCACACATACACATACGCACACAACTTTCCTCATGACCCCACCACCCACACCTCACAAACATACAACACCGCCTCAGCTCTACACTAACAGTCTTCCAACAAAAACACAGAATCCTCACGCACACACCTCACACAAAGTCATATGGCGCACAAGCACACACTTTTTCATCCATTGCACACTTGTCAGGGACAAGTCAGCATTCATCCGCAAGCTTGTTCACATGCCTCTCGACACGCAGCGCGTCAAGCACACTCAGCACCCGCTCAGCTATCCTCCCAACAATCTAACCCAAGTGTCTTAACTGCCACAGGAACCTTGAAGGTGCAGATGGTAGTAGCAGTATCCATCTTACCTGGACCACAACCACTTGGATGGAAACATGGTCTGGGAGTCGGACTGGTGCCCGGAAATACTGAGACAGAGCAACCAGCAGATGCAAGATGGCCACCAGGCTTTTGGCATGAACAGCTGAAAGGGAAGGGGATTTTAAAATTAGAGCATCTTCTGCTAGGTCCTAGGCAATATAAAGAGATGCTTACAGTGGAGCAATACCATACCCAGAGATCCTTTATTCTACCCTAAATGTCACCATGAACCTCCTCCTAGGACCCTCCACTTCTTAGCTAAGTCTCACGGAGTGCTTCTTGGGCCCTATTATTGCTGGATTTCCAGGGGGCTCTTCTACTTTAATTCCAAGTTCCCACCAGGACCTGGCATTCGAATAGCCTGGTTATTATGGTTATGATCAAGCCTGCTCTGCACCCTCTCTCCTTCCACTGACTGGAGACTCTGGATTGTCACCACTCTCCCCGCCCAAGACCGGTCACAAAGCAGATCCTTAATATTGGACAGTAACTCAGGAACACAGAGCCCTTTCCTTTGTGTGGGGCTTTAAGGTCCCTTGAATGCCTTGGGAGGGGATGTTCAGACCCACAGGCCTCCACAGCTGCTGAGCCCTGTGCTGAATGTTTCTGCTAGAGAAGGCTGGGCCACACTGAGCTGTGGTTTTCTCGGTAGATGAGAAAATCACTGACCTGATGAGGTGCATATGGTGTAGGAAGAATGGAGCTTGAATTCTGACTTCATAACTGCCCCATTTATTTATGAGCCACCTGGCTTTAGAACTCTTCCATTTATTCACTGGCTACTTGGCCTTGGGTAGGGCGAGCCACTTGAGGGGACAATAGTGCCTATTAAGGACACACAGGTTCTAAGGATTTCCAAAGGTAATGAAGGAAGAGTTCCTGGGACAGAGCAGGTGCTAAGGAATGGCCGATCTCATTCATACATACTCATATATATCATTTTATATTGTATATATTTGTATATTTTTACATCAAATATATATGTAAAAATATATAAACTCATGTGAAAGTACCTGGCACCTAGGCAATTAAAACATGTCAGTTTTTCTCCCCTTCCTTTTTCACAAAAGGGAAGATCTGCCTTCCTGGTTCTACCAGCATCATGACTACTCATGACAGGGGACATTCAAGGGAGGAAGCCAGAACACCCATTCTGAGGACTCAGCACTCACAGGGCCCATAGTTGTCAGGTATCATTTTGCCTTCCCAGGGGCCCAGGGGTCCATTTGCTTTAGCCGAATCTTTGAGAAATCACTAAGAAAGGAAATGATTCAGACACTTCTTTGACATTCATTAGAGTTTGTTATCACAGCTATTTCAGAGATGTCTTGCTGTTGATCAGGAGCTCAACACTACCACCGAACAGTGGGTGATAACTCTGGATGCCCAGCCTTCTACAAGTTTCAGCTCAGGGCACCATCAACCACATGTTACCTGTAGTTGTAGCCTCAAAAACAGGATCCTGACCAGGGATGTAGCTCCATGGTGGATTATGTGCCTAGCACACACTAAGCCTTGGATCCAACCCCCAGTACCACATAAAACAAAACACTCCAAAAGGCTCCTGGCTGGGATGGACTCACTGACGTGGCAGGGTCACTGAGGGACAGAGGCAAAAACCAGTTTGTTGTTGTGCTCAGAACTGTCATGCCATTTTCAGGCCTGTCCTGGAGGCTGTAGGCACATTTGTTAACACACACACACACACACACACACACACACACACACACACTGGACAAAGATGTTAACTAGTATATTAACTATCAAAAACATAACCCTGGAAAACACTTAAATTTAGTAGCAAGAGAATGGTTTAAATCAGTGGTTTTCAAACTTTTTTTCTTCAAGCAGAGAAACCCTGTGTTTTAAAAGCTGATCGACAGAACTCATGAAAAAAGTACAGGACACGGGCAGTCCTTGAGTCCTAACTGCAGCCTGCTACGGCTGCTGCTCCCCAGGGATGCCTGACTTTCACCTTGCAAATCTCTGTTGGACTAAGCACGATTTATTTCATGTTTGTTTTGAGCCCAAGGCTTTTGTGCTGAGCTGCAGCCTCAGCAATTTTTTTTTTTAAATTGCCCAGGCTGGGCTTGAACTTGCAGTCAGTCTTCCTGTCTCAACCTCTCAAAGTGCTGGGGTACACACATGGGCCACCACATCCAGCAAGCACGGTTTAATAATCACTGCTTTCCCAAGTTATGGGATATTCACAGGATGGGATAGTTACGTGCACTGAAAATCTTTAAGAAAATGTTGCTATGGATACCAACAATGTAATATTAAAGGGAAACTGAACAGAAACAAGGTAAGAATGTACATTTAAGGAGACGAGCACGCAGAAATAATATATATGTGGGTGTATATATACATATACACAACACAAACAGGTATAGCTTGCCAATGCTTGGGAAAGCCTGTTTTAAAAATGAAAACCATTATGCTAGCGTGGAAAGATCATTTAAGGGTGTTATCCAATTTCAAAATTTTCTTTAAGGCCATGCTGTCTTTTCAATTACAAGTGACTGTAACACATGTCCTGTGTTCGGCACCCTCATCACTGCTGCCTCTCGTGGGGGCTCAAGAAGATCCCCCCAGTGCTGGGCAGGGTACAAGGGTAGTGTTAAGAGCAAGGGCCTGGCTTCACCGTACAAACCAGGCACTATGGCTTCTGTGCCAAGAGTGTCACTCCAGGGCTGGAAAACAGCTGTAAAAGGAGCGGCTGAGTTAGAAATAATCATCTAAACATGTCCTGCAGTGGAAATGTACATTAGTGTGTTATTCTGGAAGCAACTTGACAATAGGTATTATGACCTGAAAATTGTACATACCATTTGGCCCTAAAATACAACTCCCAGGCATTCATCCTAAAAGAATATGGCAATCAGTAGAGAGAACTCATCAGGCTGGATTGATATTAGTGGAAAAAAAAAAAAAGGAAAATCTAAATATCTTATTAGTCACAGAAATTATGATAAGACATACAATGTCATTTAATATTAATATGACATATAAGTTGGATGTGGTGGTGCACAGCTGTAATCCCAGCACTCTTGGAAGCTGAGCAGGAGGATCACAAGTTTGAGCACAGTCTTGGCAACTTAGTGACTTAGTAAGACCTTGTTGCAGAATAAAAAATAAAAAGGGCTGGTAGCAAACGCCCTGGGTTCAATCTCTAGTAATGAGAAAAAAAAGTGACCTATAAAATATTTAATGACCTATGAAGGCATACATTTTCCAAACAACTACACAAGTTGGTCCAGTTTTTGTAAAATTGTGTGTGTGTGTGTGTGTGTGTGTGTGTGTAATCTCCCTCTTATCTATGGCTTTCCTTTCTGTGGTTTCAGTTTCCCAAGATCAGGTGATGTCCAAAAATATTAGTGGAAAATTCCAGGAATAACAATGTGTAAGTTTTACATTACATGCTGTTCTGGGAGCTGGGCTCCGCTATCCTGCCCCAAATGGGAATCATCCCTTTGCCCAGTGTATCCATGCTGTATATTCTACTCATCTGTTCATCACTGGATAACCACCTCAGTTATGAGCTCAACTGTCTTGGAAGCATGATGCTATTCTACTTAACAGTGGCCCCAAAGTACAAGAATAGTGATACTGGCAATCAGCTATCCCAAAGAGAAAGGTCTAAAGTGCTTCCTTTAGCCAGGTGTGGCGATGCACACCTCAAATCTCAGAAATCTGGAGGCTGAGTCAGGAGTGCTTCCTGTAAGCAAAAAGGTGAAAGTTCTCAATAAGAAAAAAAAATCGTAGGTTGGGATTGCTAAGAGCAATAATAAAAATCAATGTTCTATCCATGAAATAGAGAAAAAGACAAAGAAACCAGTGTTACTTTTGCTGCTGCCCTTAACCTGCAAAACTTGTGGCCAGGGTGTGTGATAAATTCTCAGTTCAGATGGATAAGGCATGAAAACTGGGTATGTATGGGTAAAAAACAGCATAAGATCGGGTACTATCCCTGGTTCCAGGCATTCACTGGGCGTTGTGGAGCCCATCGCCCTTGGAACAGGGAGGACTGCTGTGTTCGCATGACTTGATTGCTTATTACACATGTACACACATGGAGTGAAGGACTCCACAGTGCTCCCAGGCCCTGTCCTAGCTGTAGGTGTAGGCTCAGCACACAGGCTCTGCTGTGGGATTTCTGGGTCCGATTCCTGGCTCTGTGGTTCATCAGCCACGTGGCCTGGATGGTGACACTCCATTAGCAAACATTACTGTGTGTTTAATATGTGCCAGGATCTCTTCCACTTTCCAGGGAGACAGCAGTGAAGAAACCAAAGACCCTCTAACTCTCATAAAACTGACATTTATGATGTCACACCTTCCCTGTGTCTTGATTTTTCCCATCTGTAAAATGGGGATAACACAAATTCTTACACTGGATGGCTGAGAAAGGGTTGAAGGGATAAAAATATGTTGTGTTTAGAAGATCTCAAGGCAGCCAGTAAACACCGTAACACATGGCAAATATTAAAATTTGGATTTTTTTGTAGCTGCATTTTTCAATAATAAAAATTACTGTTGTAAACAGAAAAATGAAAATCCCTAAAGTCCTAAATCAAGGACCTTGGTAACTTAACAGTTCATCCCTGCCACCTTTGTCTTGAGCAGAAAGTGACACAGTGTCCCCAGATCACAGCCAGCACGATAACTGAGAGAGGAGAGCTGGACAGAACTCCCCCCGGGGCTGTACCTGCCACGTTCCTTACGGGGCAAACCTCTGTCTCCTGCACCCAGGCCCAGCTTCTCGTCACACCTGGAGGCATCACAGGGCTGGTGAGATAATTACCCCCCCCAACTCACACTTGGTGATTCATCGCTGTTCTAGAGATCTATGAGGAATAATTTGAGGGGGCAGAGACACAAGCTAGGACATTCAGCTGTCGGATATTCGCAATGGGATGGAGAATGTTATTAAAATGATTACTGTCAACCCAGGGTTTACGTAAACTATAAGGTATCTACCCCACGCCAAAGAAATAGTTATCAAAAATTAGAATTACAGAGACAGAAAATACGTATCACAAAATAAAGAAAATGACAAAACACAGTGGTGCATATCACTTGACTAAGTCAAAATACACATTAAAGTGACCAGGGCAAACAAAAAGGCTAGGATAGAGTGCTAAAGTGAGGAATTATTTTTCTGATATAGTTTATACATGAGATAAAGCAATCATGAACCGAAGATGTCATTCAGAGCTGTGTTAAGACAGTGTTCTCGATGTAGCTTTAAAAGGTTTCATCTTTGCATTTCAGCCTTTCCAGACTGGGTGCCATGGGTGTCTGCCTTTTTGCGATGTACAGAGAGGACCCACATGCAAGGGAGTGGGAAGTGAGATCAGCAGTGCTGAGCAGGGCTCTTCCTTCCAGGGATTCGGACCCTCGTGACTACTGTGGATTTCCAAAATGCAGTTTCCCACCCTCCACGGCCCCAAGTGCTGTCAGCATTGCTACAGCACGGGAAAGGAGGCGCCCCTTCCAGGAGTCACGGCCTCCCCGCCTCCCTGCCTCCCGCCCTCCCCTCCGGTGTCTCCTCGGGCTTGGTAGAGAGCGTGCTGGTGCTGTTCCCGGTGCTGGGCCAGCAGAGGTGTAATTACGCTGAAGTAGGCACTTGTCGCCTCTGCTTCAATGTCAGATGTGAGAAACCTGGAGGAAACTTTGCCACTAGAAGCTACTGGGTCACTGAGTTTAGAAGTGAGGATTCCTTCTGCTTTCCCAAGTTTGAAAAGTTTTTTTTTTTTTTTTTTTTTTTTTTTTTTTTTTTTTGGCGGGGGAGGTATCCACTTTAAGGTGTATAAACTACACACAATAAATCATACTACCTAATCCCCAATATTTGGAGGAAAATGCAGTCTAATCATTTCATCTGTACTGTAAACATTCACACTTTTATGTTTAGGAAGGACTCCCTTTTGGAAATACATTGTTACTGTGAGATTCACCGACCCTCTCACTGACCCTCTGATTTACTGTCGATTCTGACACGGACATATTCGGTCTATGCTAGACACCAAGCCCTCGAGGCAGCAGCAGAATTAACGGCTTGTACTTTGAGATTCGTGAGCTGGGCTTGCAGTGAAAGTGGAATTTAAAAATCCTGTTCCAGTGCCTGCGGTCTCACTTATCTTTGCTCCTTCCGGCAGATGAAGGGGGAATGGCAGGGTGTGGGTTTTGGACCTGAACATACGGACCTCAGCTTCCCCAAACCTCTACGTATTGGAGACAGCAGCTTTCTCATGGCTGTGCTGCGTCTCAGAAGCGGCTCCATGAGCATGAGTTTCCTTCCTTTCCAAATCTCATGGGAAGTTTCTACAAAAAGCCTTTTACACAAAAGAACACTAGATTTTGGCATTTTGCTTGTCTCCCCTAAGAGGTTGCTGGACATATTCTTTTTCTAAGGGTACATCTCACTGAAAGATAAACGAGTCTGCATCCGGGGCCTGCCAGCGGAGCGACTGCTTCTTGAAGAAGCCAGGTGGGAGGGACCCCGGTACCACGCAGGACGCCCTTTTCCTTGGCATGACTCACAGTCCACATTCCACTTGATGCTCCTGGGAGGAAGTTTCAGGGTTTCATTGATTTTCTCCAGGACAGTCTGCAGTTTTTGCTTCTGAGCAATCTCTGACTGGGTGACCTCAGCGACATTTAGCTTCTCACTTTCAAGTTTCTCTGGGGGCAACAAAGGGAAGAAAAATAGTAGCTGTTATTCTGGGTCACAGCCCTAATTCACACGCTGGTTTACCCATTCACTGGCTTCTCCACACACGCATGCACTCACGCACTCACCAAACATACCAGCAGTCCTGCGAGACTGGTCCCACGATCTCGCTGCAGACACCAAACTCCACTCATGCGCAAGTCCCTGCTTGGTAGGAACCTGCTTACCCTCCTGTGCACTTTAATCATCTCTAGATGACTTATCATCAGTACGATGTCAACGCCACACCCTATACTATCACATTGGATCAGTTAGGGAATAATGACAAAAAAACAAAACAAAAAAAAAAAACAAAAAAATTGCTGCACGGGTTCAGGACAGAGGTAACTTCTGTTGGGTCCTTGAGCTTGCAAGGCAGGCGCCTAAACCACTGAGATAAATCCCCCGCCCAGTGTTGAATATTTTTGATCCACTGTTGGTTGAATCTGCAGATGTGGAACTGCACTGAGAACCTATTATTAGGAAAAGTGCTCCTCATTTGACGGCGGGACTGGTGGCACCAACAGTGCGAGAGCTTCTGAATTATGCCTTAACCCTTCAGGAGCACAGGGTGGAGAGTTTCACCTTCTCTGGCGTATTTGAACTCTTCTTCCATCATTCTGGGGCCCTTTTCCTTTTTCAAATTCTACCTTTTCTGAGGACCCCTCGGTGCCCCAGCCGGACAGACTTCTCTGTTTCTTCCCAGCGGTCACTCAGGTCCTTATTCGAGGCACCTTGTATACAGTATGACATTTACTGTGTCTGATTTAAGCACTTTCTTTTTAACCTTCCCCGGGAAGTAGTTCGTTGGATGTGCCATATTTCATCAGTTCCTAGGTGCACATGTCTCACACGTTAACACCCCTAAAATCAGGTTGTATCTTAAAAGTGGCATCCCACAGAGGCTGCCACCCAGGTGGAAGACGTGAGTTATTACTGCCACCACCTGTGTGAACCTGGCCATCACTCTTCATGGGACGAGCATTTCCATGCCTCAGGAAGACTGTAAGAGCAACTTCAAAACACATAAAATAAAAATTCTAAGCAAGGAATACCCCCCAAAAAAAACCAACCCTACTGGCTTGGGGCTGGGGATGTAGTTCATTTGCAGAGGACCTGCCTAGCATGTACAAGGGTCCAAGCCCCTGAACTGCGGAGGAGAAAGCCAGGAAACAAAGCATTGGGTAATGGTTCAATGGAAGCAAAACACTATCTAATCAATTATTAATCTAAATTTGCATTTTAATCTATTACAAAACACAAAATAACTCTGGACTCCTTAATGGGAAAAGTGTTACCTGCTTGTACTTTTACCTACTCTACACTCCACAACTCACCTAGCATCGATAGGACAATCCGAAGTGTGTTTAAAATGTCGTGTCTTTGCATTTTTGCTATTTCAAAAATGAAACTTTATGTCAGCGGTTCTCCTAGAGCTTACATCATTTATTTCAGGTACCACAGCAGCTTACTGAATTCAACTTCTCCATGGGTGACTCTCTAACGAGGATACCCAGTGGAGAACTTCTGCAGGTTCTCTGGACTTACAAACCCTTTTCAGTGCCTTGGTAGGATGACCTGGGGCACCTGTCATGTATGATGGCACGAAATAACACCTGCCTCTTCTCCCCCATTGCTTCAGGCCATACTTCATTTCTGAAGTTCAGGGATTTAACCAAGTTCTATCTAAATGTCTTCCTCTGGGATGGTAAACCTTGAAGAGAACATGTGTGCTTTTTTTTTTTAGGCTGGATCCTTATCTAGTAAAGGTATGGAAAGTTTTTTTAAATTTTTCTTCATTATTTTTGAGTGATGTAACTGTCCCTAAGAAGCAAACGGTTCTCATTGCACATTGCAACTACAATCTGTTACAGGATGCCCAAAATGCTAGGCTGAAAAACTTCTGACACCTTCTGTTGGCTGGAGGAAAACTGCTGGGATAGATTGTTGTCTGCCTTTGGGAGTGGCCTGGGGAGGCGGGAGGAGAGAAGTGGCACGAGACCCACTTACTCACACTGGCCATGCTGTATTTATTACATCACTGTCTATGAATTTTCATATTTATAATCCATTGGCAGTGGGCTTAGAATGAATAGGTTTCTGTGTTTTCTAGGTCAACAACTTTTTCTTGTACTGTTGTCCATTTTATTTTTGTTTAAAAATTGGTGGCCTGACCATATTTGGTGGCACATGCTTGTAATCCCAGCACTCAGGAAGCTGAGGTGGGAGAATCCCAAGTTCAAAACCAGCCCAGATTACGTAGTGGAATGCTGTTACAAACAAACGGACATCGGTGAGCTATAATTTCTTCTTATTATATTTATATATATTTCTTATATCCATTTGGTCTCCTACTTCCCTTCCTGGTACAGAGCTTCTACAACTCACAATTTCTTAGGTAGCTGAGTGATATAAACATTTGTTTCCTTGTCCAGAGTTCTTTCAAGAGTGATAGGGTGACAACCCAATTTCCCATCAACTGGAGACTGGATAAAGAAGATGTGGTTTTTGTTATAAAGTGGAGTACTACTCAGCCATAAAGAACGAGAAACTAGAGACATTTGTAGCTAACTGGGCACACATTGAGGTGATACTCTTAAGTGAGATAAAGAGGACACGTGTATAAATACCAAATAGTTTCTCTGGTGTAAAAACTGAAAGTGTAAATAAGGATCAGAATGTATAACTGATATTGCGTAATAGGAAGAAAGGATCTAAAGGGGTAGGGGAAGTAGGAGGGGTAGAGGAAAGGAAAGAAGGGAAAAGAAAAAATATGAGAAAATGAAAAAATGGAAACAGAGTCGGTGAAGGGAGGGCAGGGGAATGGGGAAAAGTAACCAAGATATGTCATGTAAAGGTACAAGATCCCAATGATGAATGTAACTGTATTGTATACCTAAAATGTACCAATAAACTTAATGAAAAAAAAAAAGCAATGAAACAAACAAAAGAATGATAGGCCACCAGGGGAATCAACCAGTGTTTAAAGCATTGGTACTTTCAGCCTCACTCCTGCCTCTTTGACCCCTGGGGTGGGAGTAGGGACTGGAAGTTGAATTAATCACCAATGGCCAATGAGTTAATCATGACGCCTCCATAAAAACTCTAAAAATAAAACCCCTCTAACTAAAGGGGTTCAGGGAGCTTCTGGGTTGGTGAATGGATCATGATGCTAGAGATCAGTGGACCCCGAGAGGGGCTGGAGGCTCTGGCACCCCATACCTTGTCCTATGCATCTCTTCCAATTGGCTGGTGCTCAGTTGTATTCTTTCTAATAAACTGGTAGATTCAAGTGCCTTCCTAAGGCCTATGAGCCATTCTAGCAAATTATCAAACCAGGGAAGAGGGCAGTGGGATCCCTGATTTACAGCCCGTTGGTCTGAAGCACAGGAGGTCCAGAGTTCTGAGTGCCATCTGAAGTGGGCAGTCTTGAGGGAGTGTGCCCTTAACCTGTGGGGGCTGCACTAATGTAGGGCAGTGTCAGAATTAAATTGCAGGGACACCCAGCTGGGTGCCTGCAGAGGTCAGAGAATCACCTGGTGTGGAAACCTCTCACATTTGGTGTCAGAAGTGTGCACACAGAGGAAAATGAGATTTTCCTTGATTAGATTTTACACCTTACCTACTAGAGCACTCTGCTTTTCTGTTTCCACCAGTATTTTTAACTGTCTATGACATTATAATTGTAATGTATTCTTCCAAAAATTAAAACACATCTTTCTGTTGTTTAGCATCTGGTATTGCTTATTTAGGAGACAGGTTTTTGTGGCTTTGATTTATTTCTTTCATGTTTCAGAGATTTTAGAAAAGGTAGCACTGCTTTAGTCATTGTTTTGTGTTTATTTTCTTGCTTAATTTTTTGTTGTTGGATATTTTATTTTAGACATTGATACTGGTATTAATATATTGCACAGAAAATATATCTCAAAGCAATCTTTATTAACACAGTATTTCTCTTTTAATAAAAAAGAGATTATATATATTATATATATATATGTATATATGTGTATATATATATATATATATTTTGCTACTGGCTTTTCCCTAAACAAATATATATCATGAGTATATTTCTCGGTCAACACATACTGGCATAACTCATTTAAAAAAACTGCATATTATAGGGCTTATTACATATTCATCCATTTTCCCAAAGATATATATTGCCAGCTTGTATCCTACCTTACCTCTATTTGCAATAAAGTTGTAATAAACTCCCCATGTGTAATGCTAATTGATTATTATTGATAAAAGTTATTGCTTTGTAGATTTTCCTCTTACATTCTTATATTTCTTCTTATATTTTCATCTGACAAAATCCCCTCATTAGTTCTTTTGTGACTTCAGCATTCTTTTTGCTTTTTTTTGATACAGGGGATTGGACTCGGGTCCTTGCACTTGCGAAGCAGCCGCAGGAACCACTGAGCTAAATCCCCAGCCCACAGCATTCTTTTGAGTATGCAAATAAAACACTATTATCTCTCTTTTGCAAGCTTGTATCACTTATTTCATTGTGATTTTTTTTTAAAAGAAAGGTTTAGTTACACCTGTACTGCTATTTCTACTCCTTTATTTTAAGGTATTTAACCCTCAAAATTTGACAGGCCCACTCAAATATTTCTATAGACAGTAACTTTACTCCATCTTACCAGGATTTCAAGATAATTTAAGATTCGTAGTTTTTCTCCTTTGTTCTTTGTTAGGCTAATATTACTAGCTCTTTGAAATTTTTTATTGTTGATATTTTATTCTTCCAGGAAAAAACTGCTTTTTGAATGTTTTCATACATAGTGCAAGTATTGGGTGTGATTTTGTTGTTGTTTTTGTTTGTTTCTTTGGTACCAGGGATTGAACTCTGGTCCTTGTGCTTGAGAGGCAGGCAGCAGAACCACTGAGCCAAATCCCCGGCTATTTGGGCATGATTTTGAAATAGGATGATTTATAAAATTTCAGGTGGATTATTTTGTGAATA